GATGATAGCTAACACTCATTGAGCATTTACTGTATGCCAGGCATTGTTGTAAGAATTCTGTGTATGTTAACTTGGTATGATCCTGAGAACACCCAGAAAAGCCAGAGAGAAAACCTGAAGAAAATGACATAATCCCAAAGATCAAGAAAAATGATCCAGCCTTAAAGTTATTAAGCTTGTTTTAAAAATGCGAAGTGCTTCTTTATTTTAAATACCCCAAAAAGGTGTTTAATATGACTAACTGGTTTAACATTACATGGAATTTAATTTGATTCTCGTATATGTAAGATATTTAATAATTTAGAAAAAAGTTATTTTCATCTTGCAATTATATCAGAATATTTAATTTCTTGTTTTCATTCCTTTCATTGGTGTTTGTGGTTTGGTTAAGTTTTGTAAAAATTGATCCTTTGCAAGAGCAATGAGTCATAAAAATTTGGTACTGTTCTGCTTTAGTTTAGACTCTAAAGTTCCTCAGGGGTGTCCAATATTTTGGGGTCTCTGGGCCACACTGGAGGAAGAAGAGTTGTCTTGGGCCATACATGAAATACACAAACATTAACAAAACCGATGAGAAAAAAAAAGGTTTTAAGTAAATTTATGATTCTGTGTTGGGCTGCATTCATAGCCATCCTGGGCCACATGCAGGCTGCGGGCCAGGGGTTGGACACCTCTGGTAGAAGGAAAAGTAAAAGATGATCATGACCAGAAAGAACAAGGCTGACTCTCAAAGTTCTAGGGCACAGTTACATATAGTGAGTGTGTGGTAGTCAAAGCTCTTTCTAGGCTGCGAACTCCTTGAGGGTATTGACTGTCCCTGTCCCTATCTTTGCATCTTCAGTACCCAGCACAGGCCTCACATGTGGTGCTCAATAAGTGCTTGTGAACTAATGAAGCCCAGACAGTTGTAATGAGTTTATGTAGAAGTCAATAACGGAGTCAATTGCTACCCCAACCCCCACTGTGCATTGAATTAAGAGTTTGTAGTTCTTGATGTTACATTTTCTATGGTCTGGGTGTCACAAATCAAGTCAATGAGTTCAGTTATGCATTCCAAGAAAAGAAATCAAGATAAATATTAAGACAAATGTTAGGTAAGTAGTTATTATCTGATTTCTTTGGAATTATAATTTGATCACATAGCATCATCCTGGCATCACTTTGTTTTATAAAAATGTAACTATGCACATATAAATATGCTATGTCTGTGATGTGATTTGATTGCATTCAATGGAGAACTTCTTGTCAGCCTGGCCTGCTGCAATCTATTTGTGGTAACCCATGAGTCAGCGGTTCTAATTGGTATTCTGTACCTCACTGTATGACCTTAGGGAGGCTTCTTAGTCTATTTTTGGCTGTTTTTGCATATATGGACTGGGAATAATTACTTTGTAATGTTTTCTACTAGAGAATGCTCTTAAAAGACTCTTGGCTAAAACTGTTTCTAATTTAAACACTGCAATTACTGGTGCTGTAGAATCCATGACAGAATCAGAATTGACAAATATACAATATTATATATTATTTCCTTTAAAATGTTTCTTCTGCATTTTGCTTAACATTTATACAAAATGTATTATAAAAATAGATTTTTATGTTTACTATTGCAGAAGAAATGCTTGAGTTAAGGCCCTCTAAATTTATCACAATAAAGTAGGAAGGATTTTGAATAGAAGGGATTGGATTCTACTACCTAACAACTGTGATTCCTAGTTCTGAGATCTCAGACAAGTTACCTAACCCCTCTGAAGTTTGGATACTTTCATCTCTACTACAGCAACAACACTCTTTACCTCCAAGAGTTGGCATAAGGGTTTTAAAACAAGATGATGCATGTGCAGGGGAGACTGTGTCTAATGCCTGGTCCTCAAAAAAGTTTAGTTACATGACTGTTTCCTAAACAAATGCTGCTAACAGGCTGAAAGTCCTGGGTTTAAACCAAAACTTTCTAATGTTATAGGAAGATATTTAAAATATTGCACATTATTAAGATACTGGGACACAGATTAATAAAACTAGGGAACATGTTCTTATGTAAAAATTTAAAATAGCCGTCTATTCTAATGACAGTGTTTTCTCCTAGTTATAAAAATAAAGACTTAAAATATAATTCTAGAACTAGTTAAGAAAGATTTTATAAGTTGCTATGAAGGTAGCTAATCTTCTTAATTAGCAAAAGAATGAGGGTAGAGAACATGTCTATAGTGTGCACTACTGTGTACCTAGCAGCCAACAGAGTGCCTGGCCACACAGTAGGTGCTCAATAAATAGTTGTAGAATGAATGCACAGAGTGCATAAATTTTTGAATCAGAGATTTGGTTTGAATTACAGCTACATATTAGGAGAAGAAGAAGATCTATTTTTAAAGATAGTTAAGAGAATTTTGAAAGTGGTAACATGAAAATTATCTTGCATGGGTATTATTAAGATACAGTTTCCTTAGTGCTGTTCATACTCTTGCTAATTTCATAACATTACATGTTAAGATCAAATAGTATTCCAAATGACTAGATTAATAAACTGCCACATGTATTCTACTTATATAGAGACTGTACATATAGTAACATCCTACTCAATTAATCTTTGGCTGATATATCATAGTCCAGCCAAACTGTTCAGGAAAAGTAATTGCTTCTTCAAGGCTTTTTAAAGAAGTCTGCATTACTCGCTCAGTTTTTCTGCACGTGGCTTTCAGTTGCCTTTTTAGCTAGTGACCCTGGATTCTAACTAATGAATTCCAGCTGTTCTTATTTTGCTTTCCAGCCCTTCTCATTTAACCTCCTGTCTCCCTGGTCTCACATCCTAGAGTTCTTTCAGGAAAAGTGGGGCAGTGCCAAAGTTTTCAAACGAGGTCTCACATCTTCTTGAGGGAACAGGACTGCTCTAACAAGGGCTCCCAGCTTTCACACTGGTGGAAAAAGAAACATTCATCGTTGGAAATTAGATGCCTAACAACCTCTAATGTGTCAAAAATCCTTTTGTGGTTTTTAATATTATAAAGCAAAGCATTCAGTAAGGTAAGTCCATAAAGCAAACCAACAAAGTCCACAGTTGAATACTAACTATAATTGCAAACACCTGCGATGGAGAGCCAAGTCCTGGTAAATACGCAATAAAAGAAACATTTAGCATACAGAACAATACTGATCCAGCTTTTCTGAACCCTGCTGAGAACCATCTGTTAGCAAAACCCGGCAAAAGGTTTTGTCAAATATCAACCTGAAAAACTTGGCTGCGTGCAAAATCTGAGTGAGTGAGTGAGGCAGACCTGAAGCAATAGACAAGTGCATGAAGGAAACACCATGAGAATGAGGTAACCTGGAGACTTTTATTACGTTCAGAAATACTCCTTAACCTACATACATCTCTGTCTAAATCTGGTCGTTCTTTAATGGCGACCATCAATAAGTGCATTAGTAAATGCAGCTTCCATTATATTAAACACTTAAAACCGTGCTTTTCTCCAGAATGCACCTGATCCTACCAGGCTGAATCACTGGCTAACCTGATAGCCATTTGGCCCTTCTACTTAAATTCAAAATAACACATTTCCCAAGGGCTCTGAAAGACTGTTGAAAATGGCATCAAATTCAGTTATAGACTCATTTTCTGAATTGCTTTTTCCATGCCTGTTTGCATAACCCATCCCTCCAAGCTCTGTCCAAAATCGACTGACTCCATTAGCCACACTGACGCTAACTGGTTCTCATCTTAGTTTATGTCTTTTTTACCTCCATTATAACACTGGTTGTAACTGGAACCATCTGCTCTGTTACATCTGAAAATGATATAGAGCAAAGATCAGGCTTTTTCTTCTCATCCATCACAACACCCAGCAATATGTTTTGCATACAGGATGTGCACATAAAGTAGGGAAAGGAAAATAAAGTAGTTAAACAGGGAGAAAGTAAGGCCAGGAAAGAGCCATTTCTCTGGGTTTTTGATGAAATGGATAACAATCCTATTATCATTTTATCTCAAATGGCTCATGTTAAAAGGTTAATAAATGGAATTTTTAATGATTTATTTTCCCTATAGTGGCTTCTTGATAGTGAACAAGTCATCACTACGAGAAAGGAACAAGAATGGAATAATAATGGCCAGCATGTGTTGAATTCTGAAAATGGATTCTGTGATCAGTGCTTTTTTAATAAAGATTTTATTGATTGATTGATTGATCGATTGTTAGATGGAGTGAGAAAGAGAGGGAGAAACAACTGTCGGTTGTCTCTCACATGGCCCAACCAGAGGCTAGCCTGTAACCCGGGCGTGTGGTCTGACTGGGAATCTAAGCAGTGACCTTTTGCTTTGCAGGACAACGTTCTACCAACTGAGCGAGGCCAGTCAGGGTTGATTAGTGCTTTAAAGCATATTCTCATTTAATCCTCTTAACAACTCAAAGAAATAGGTGCTATTATTATCCTCCTTCTGCAATAAATTCAGCCCTAAATATGTAAACTTCCAAAGTCATAGCACTAGTAATTCCTAGATCTAAGATTCAAACCCAAGTCCATCCTCACCCACTTCCTATGCTGCCCAGGGTACAAAGGAAATATAGGAACAACACTAAAAGTACATGCCTTCCCAAAGAGTTTTTCAAATGCCATCTAAACAAATTATTTTCAAGCAAATTGTTTACTCAGAATTTATGGGATTTTATTATTTATTTTATCTTTTATATGGATTTTTCTGGGGTTATATAGGTATAGCCTTTGCACTTAGTGTGGGACCAAATACACAAAGGTATTTGGTAAATACTCATTGAGTTCACAGGCTTGGTCAACTAACGTAATACTTTTGAGTCTTAATTTCCTCAATAATAAGTAGTAAAACGATAGTGTAAATATACTTGGAAAACTGGTATAAAGAATAAGATTGCAATTATAATATTACTTCTAGAAATATCAAAAGCTAGATGCTGAATGGATAGATTCAATGCATGTTTTCCCCGAATCAAGGAACTGAAACAGATCTGTTGGGTCCATTTTACTGCTCTTACCTTCCCGGATAGCAGTAAATGGGACTCCTTCCTCTTCGTTCATACTGATGACTTTTAAAGCCACCAGTTGCTTGTTTATTCTAGAAGAATGGGGAAAAGGGCACAGATAAGGATGATTCATAGCAGTTTAACAAAAAATATTTCTTTCAAAATATATTCTAGCATACGAATCTACAATTTTTCCAAATAAAAAGTTTTAAAAGTCATATGCATATATAGCAAAACATTTTTTTTCCTTACTTAAGGGATACATGTTCGTTACTTAAACATTCGGAGAAGACAGTTATCAGAGAACCACTCCCCCCACACACATAACTGAGTCCATCCTTGTAATATTATGATCTCTATTATTCCTTTTACTTCCCTGTGTGCGCTTATCTGAGCCATCCTTATGTCATCTGAATTACTGTGGTGACCTCCTGGCAGTCTCCCTGCTTGTGCTCTTGTACCCCTACTGTCTACTCTCAACAGAGTAGCCCGCGGCCTCCTTCTAAAGTGAAAGTCAAAACAAGTCACTTCTCTGTTCAAAACAAACCACTGTCACTCTGAATAAAAGCCAAATTCCAGTGGCCTCCTAGGCGCTACCTGATCTGTCCAATCCCACCATTCTCTCTCTCTCTCTCCATCTCCTCCTACTCTCTACTTATTCATTGTTTTGTTCGCTGATGTAAGTGCCAGAGAATAAAAAAGATATTAATACAAGTATAAATAATATTTGTAATACAGTGGAGTTCATATTATATATCATCTTATTGTTAAACTGTTTTTCCTCCATTTAGCTTTTTGTTTTATTCATCCTTCTATTATGTGATATTAAATAATGACATATTTTATCACATGCACTAAAATGTGTTTAGCAAATTGCAAATGTTTTTAAATTATTTTTAACTTTTTGACGTAAAAATACAGTGATGATCATATTTGTAGATCAATCTTTTCACAGCCCCTATTATTTTCTAAGGGTAGCAGTGTAATTGCTAAATCAGAGTATGCTGCACACACGTTTTTATTGTTTTAAAAGCATGTTTCAAAATTGTGCTGCAGAGTGATCACACTATGAACTGATCATCAGAGTGGCCATTCCAACAGTCCCTCGCCAACACAGAGCAGAGTTGTTGTCTTCTTTTTTTTTTTAAGATTTCATGTTTTAGAACAGTTTTTGATTTATAGAAAAATTGAGAAGATAGTACAGGAGTTATCATATAGCCTCACAACCAGGTTCTTCTATTGTTAACATCTTATATAGTATGGTACATTTGTTATAATTAATGAACCAATATTGATACTTTATTATTAATTAAAGCCCATAGTTTATTAGGAATTCTTTAATTGTTTTTGCACTAATATTGTATTGTTTATTGTGAGTTACATTGCAAATTGCTAAAATTTGGGGGGAATGCAACATAATACATGGGAAAAGCCATAAAACTACCACACCTATGAATTTTTCCCAATAAACTTACATAACAAAGATTTTAAAATTCCAAATGGATGAAAAATATCCTCTACTGTTAGTTATAATAGAAAAAATAGAAATAGCAGAAATGTCCAACAGCAGATGAAAGTTTAAAAATTTGTCATATGGCCCTGACTGGTGTGGACTAATAGATTGGGCATCGTTCCACAAACTGAAAGGTTGCCAGTTCAATTCTTGGTCAGGGCACGTGCCTGGGTAGCAGGCCGGGTCCCCAGTTGGGGGTGCATGAGAGGCAACTGGTGGATGTTTCTCCCTCTCTATCTCCCTCCCCTTCCCTCTCATCAACACAAATTTATTTAAAACTTTACTTAAGTTTTAAGTAAATAAAATTTAAAAATGTGTCATACATCAACACAAGAAATATTTTACATTCATAACAGAAGCTTAAGTCTAGAAGCATCTAGAAAAAAAGAAAAATTCATGATAAAATAGACAATAGGATACAAAACAAGCAAGCACACCATGTCTGTAACTTTAAATACAGTTGACCTTGAACAATGCAAGAATTAGAGGTGCTCATCCCATCTCCCCCAAACAGTCAAAAATCCTCATATAACTTTTGACTCCCCTAAAACTTAACTACTAAATAGCCTGTTGTTGATGGAAGCCTTACCAATAACATAAAACAGTCAATTAACACATATTTTGTATGTTTTATGTATTATATATTGTATTCTTACAATAGAGTTAGATAAGAGCGAATGTTACTAATAAAATCATAAGAAAGGAAAATACACTTACAGTATTTATTTAAAAAATCCCTGTATAAGTGGACCCATGTTGCTCGATTCAACTGTAAACTGTGTGCATATCGAAGACAAAATGCACATATGCAATTGCTGTATGAGAGTGATAGACTATAAATGATTTTTAGTTTTAAAAATTCATTACTATTGTATGTTTTTCTTTTTTCTTTTTATAGCATTTATGAATTATCCATTTTATTTCAAAATGTTTTCTTACAATGACTATTCTTTCTTTTTATCTCTTTTAAAGTAAATATCAGTAGATGTGTATATTTATGAAATCAATCAATTTATCTATATTAGTCTTTTTTTAAATTGAGATATAATTGGCATATAATGTTGTGTAAGTTAAGGTGTACATTGTTTTGATTTGATACATTTATACATTGCATTATGATTACTAGGATTTCTTTAGTTTTTACCTAATGCCATTTTTATGTTCCAGGAACCTATCCTGAATACATTACATTTAGTTGTCATATCTCTTTAGGCTCCTTTTGGCTGTGATAGTTTTCCAGAATTTCCTTATTTTTGATGACCTTGGCACTTTTGAGGAGTACCAGTCAAGAATTTTGTAGGATACCCCTCTATCAAAATTTTTCTTATGATCACACTGGGGTTACAGGTTTTGAGGAAGTAGAGTACCATTTTCGTCACACCATAATAAGGGTACATATTATCATAATTAATGGCTTTTGATGTCCTTAATCACCTGGCTGAGATAGTGCTTGTCAGGTTTCTTCCCTCTAGTTGTCTCAACCCTCATACTGTACTTATGGAAGAATGTCAGTCTGAGTGGCTCTCACTTAAGGAGTGGGGAGTTACGCTCCATCTCCTTGAGGGTGGGATATCTACACAAATTATTTGGAATTCTCCATGGGAAATTTGTCTCTTCTGATTATTCATTTATTGAACCATTTATTTATATCAGCATGGACTCACTGATATTTCTTTTATACTTTGAGTTATAATCTAATACTATAGTACAGTCATTTATCCTGTGATTCAAATTGTCTACCTTTGCCCTTTGGGAGCTCTTTCAGTTGGCTCCTGGGTCCCTCTGACATAACCCCATAAATGCGGGATTTGTTTTTTGGAGCATGCTTTTATCTTCATTTTTGGGGCCTATTTATAGGTAAAAAGGATCATAGCATTTTAATTTCTCTTTCTTTACTTGTAGAACTGAATTTTCATAAATATATTTGTCTTTCCGGTTCTTCTGTTATTTGACTATTTGCCCCTTTTAATTAAAATATTTTGCATATACTTTTCACCAATTTCTTTTGTGCCTTATCATATCTTTCTGAACTTTAAAAAACTTTATGACAGTCAGCATTTTCCCAATTGTTTCACTAAGAGCATAGCCCTGTGAAATTCTCTCTACCCATCCAAGAAAGTTTTTTGGTCAAATATGTTTAGAAAATGCTTTATATTTCTTAAGTTTCCTTAACCTCTCTTAGATAGTACTGGTATACACTAACATTTTAAAGATGTTGAGAGCACCTACAATGAAGGATCACATTTTAGTATGTTCTAGGGTTCCCCTTGTCAATTTGACAATGGTGATTGTTTCAATGAAACTTCTATTAGGTGTCTCAGAATTGGGGCTCCCTAGAACATACTTGGATAGGTGGGGTACCGTGGACACTTTCAATCTTCCCTTATGGGTCTGACTTAAATGTTATGTGCAGACAGGCCTTTCCAACCTAAAAGTTATACAAGAATTCTCTATTCTTCTAGTTTCTGGATTTTTTTCCATTTAACTCTAATCCACTGGGAATTTACATTGTATATTTTTACCTTATTGCAAGTTGTTAACAATTGTTCCAGCTCCATTTATTGAATTGTCCTCTTTTCCTTGCTGATTTGACACGCCACCATGATTAAACATTAGATCTTACTAATATTTGGATTTGTGACAGTTCTGGATGTTTTAAACTCATATTTCTTTGATCCGTTTTTTCTTTTTTAAAATTTTATTTATTTGAGAGAGAGAGAGGGATTTGTTTTTCCACTTATTTATGCTTTCATTTGTTTGATTCTTGTGTATGGCCTGACCAGGGATGGAACGTACAATCTTGGTGTATTGGGATGATGCTCTAACAAATTAGGCTACCCGGCCAGGGCCAATCTGTTTTCTTATACTTGTGCTACACTCTTTTAATTATTGTAGCTTTTGTACACATTTATAATACATTAAGGCTGTAAATTAGAGAACTATTGAAATCTTTGCACTATTAGATGTTCTAATCCAAATATTTTTACAGAGGTTCCTGGAAGGATCTACAAGGCCCTCTACATCAACCCTGCTGCAATTATATCTCCTCCCTGTCTTCACTGGCTTCCAGTGCTAGGCCTGCTCCTGCCTCAGAGATTTCTTACATGCTGTTCCCTCTGCCTGAAGCTCTCTTCCGCTACATATGCGCACAGCTCACGCCTCCTGTGGCTGAGTCTCTGTTCAAGTGTTCCTTCTCAGCAAGGCCTCCTCTCAGCACTCTATGTAAAATAGCAATCCACCTCCCCATTCTGGCACTTCCTGACCCTCTTCCCTGTTTTATCCTTTTTCAGAGCACTTTTCACTCTTTGACAAACTCAATATTTTACTACTTTATGTATTGCTTCTCTCACCCCCACTAGAATGTACACTCCATAAGAGAAAGGGTTATTGTCTCTTATTTTTGGATGAATCCTTATGGCTAAAATAGTAAATGGCACATAGTAGGTGCTTAAAAATATTAGTAGACTGAATGAGTGCCTGTATGAGAAAAAAATTAATGTCCTTCTGGCTCTTTCTTCAAGTGTTCTATGTCCCATAATAAATCTTTAGATGAATCCTGCCCATTTGTTCATGTTAATGATTTTTGTTGTTGCTTTTGTGAGAGTAATCTCTCCTACTATATTTTCTCTTAAATTATTGCTAATACATAGAGGCAAATTTTGATAAGTATATTTTTATTTTGTAGCTGATTTTACTGTTTATCATACTATTTTTAATGGTTTCTTAGATGATTATCTTGGGTTTTTAGGTAGACAGTTCTATAACCCACAAAAATGATATTCATTTTTTTCCTCATTACATCAGCTAGAATATTAACAATAATATTTAACTATAAGATAATGGGCATTTGTGCTCTAACTCTAACTTAATAGTAAAGTCTCTGGTATTTAACAAAGAAATGTATATACTGTTGATTTGAAATATTCTATATCATAGTCATAAAGTATCATCCCATTCCTGTTTTACTTAGTTTTAAAAAACTAGTAAGTGATGAATTTATCAAATGTCTTTTTGGCATCTATCTCTATGATATTTTTAAACTTGTTTTTAAGTTATAAATATAATGGATGTCTTTGTGAATAAAGTGAAAAGTTTTAGTGATCTCTCTTTCCTCACCCCAGTATCAACCACTAGAAGTATCTACTTTTAACAATATCTTGTGATTTTTCCAAACTCCAATATAACCCTACAAATTTACACATGTAAAGTAAGTACATTTGGGTGTTTTTTCCCTAAATGAGATCATAGAGTGCATATTGTCCTGTAACTTGTTTTTTGTCTCTTAAAATATTGGGCATCTTTTCATAGTAGTAGATCTGTCTTATATATTAGATGGCTGTAAATTGATGACTATTTAGCCAGTCCTTCATTAGTGGATATTTGTGATCAGGTTTTTACTTTTTCTATTATAAATCTTGCTTCAATGAATACACTTTATATATATTTGCACTTGGACAAATATTTCTAATTTATCTTTTGTCCTATTATTAGGCCGAGTCCTCTGAAGAAAATCTTACATTCTCAGTTCCTAAGATAGTCCATGGAAATGCACTAAATCATGTTTCTACATAATGTGATTAAAATATTTCCCCTAAAGTCCTGTTTTAACAAGTAAAATTAATAACACAAGTACTAAGATAAATAAATGATAGTCTTGTAGCATGTATATTAAATTTTTAAATTAACACCTAACCACTATTGAGCCATCATTTTTCAACACTGAAGTAACATAAAGAAATCAGGCTTCCAACTTTTTTTTTTTAATAAAAAGCAATGGAGCTCATGGATCTTTCGTATATTTAACAAAGTTTATGTGAGTCAAAATAGGTACTTGGCTTTTGGATTAGCAGTATTTTTATTCTTCAGCCACTTTGTCTATTTTATGTGTAGAAAATCCAGAATTAACCTTTTTTATTTTTATTTTTTTTGCATATACCATACTTTGCAGAAACCAACTTCAGTTTCTGCTATGAAGGCAAAGAGGCAGAATGAGGGAGCGAACTGAAGGTTGCCATTGCAAACCTTTCTCATGTTTTAGGGAGGGATATGAAAAACACTTTATTTAGACACATCTTACCAACTGCACTTCCCATCAGGCAAAGAGCAGTAATTGTTCTTTGGTTAAGTAGTAGAAGAAGTCTACTTTGAATTGAATAAAAGAGAAGAAAAGCTGATAGACATTTCCGTGGGCTGATTTTAACTGGGACAAGAGAAGTTTGTTTTTCCTTCAATGCTATTTAAATGATCGTGTCTCTCCCTGTTGATGATGGTGCCTTGCACAGGTCCTGAACTTCTGCTATGTGCCACCTGGCTTTACAATGTCAAATCAGGAGGGTGGGATCCTCATCTCCAAAGTCTCTCCTAGCTATGAGTCACTTACCTGCTAATCCCCTTGTATACTGTAGCATAGGAACCTTCACCTAGCTTCTCCAAGTTCAAGTAAGATGAGGCTGCCCCAAAAGGGAGGCTCTTCCTCTGCTTAAGGGGAACAAGAAGGGGTGAGGGGTGAGAAAGAAAGAAAGAGCACTTTTTATTGTTTCCCAGAGAAATTTGTCAGAGTGTACTCAGGAAGGTCTGCTTAGTAATTGCCCTGGAAACAGGGCCAGCCTCCCTAGATGAGCACACATTAAATCCTTGTTGATCAGCATCAGCTGCTCACTCACCCACTGCAAGCCCTGCCTTAGATCCTCTTCCTGAAAAGAATCACTGTTACTCCGTGGCCTTTTACTCTTGAACTTCCGGGCATGGACAGCCCGAAGTCCCCTGGGGTGCAATGAAGTCATGGAACAAGATGCTTCTTTTAGGTCTGTTAGCTAGAGGAAAAAAAAAAAAAAAGGAAAGTACAAGAATAAAATTTATGCAAAGTCAAGACTTAGTGGCTGGCATAAACTATTTTTCCTTTTTTTGTCTGATTTTTACTCTTTGAATGTTTTTTAAGCTTCTACACCCCCCAAAGTCACCTTTCCTGGAAGTTGGATCGCTTAAAAAAAAATCTTAATGATATCAATTGTTGAAACACTATATTCTTTCTTCACCTAAAATATGTCTTTAAAACTTAGGTTAATCTAAATTTCTTTGATGGATGGCTTCTAATTTTTCTCTGTTTAACTCACAATTGTTCTTCATGTCCCCTAATTTATCACTTTAGGGGAATAATTTTCTAGTACAGCATTGTTAATAATCATGAGCTAATTATTGAAATTTTGAATCCACAGCATAGCAATACTGCAGCTTGCTTTTTAAGGTTTAGTTTTGTAGTTTAGTACTGGAGAGATTTCAAGAGTAAAACTACTTTCCTGACTTCAAGTCAACTGAGTTTCAGGCAGCGAAAACATAGGATTATTTTTCCCTTTTAGTTTAGAAGAAAAAAAAAATCTCAAATTTGATAACAATAGCCATAAATTCTCTGCGACTTTAATAGACTTTTCTTTTTATTGGTTTAGACCTACCGCAGAAAAATCAGACCCTGCTACAGAAAGGAAGTCTTTGAACTCCTCGGTTTATCAATAGAGAAAGATGCTGCTCCTGGGATACAAATACCTCAATCGCAGCCTCCGTCGTTACAGGCGCACTCCTCTGACAGCTGAGTGCATCGCCTCCCTCCCAACAGCGATGGCAGCTGCATCCAGGCTGGAGAGTCTTTGCACACAGCTCTTGACCCATAATCTTCTAGGCTCAAGGAGAAAGCTCACACTTGAACCTCTCCCTCTCTGCCTTTCCTGTCCCCGTTCACTCCCTTTTTTGCCAGAGGTCAGTAATGCTGGAGCTTTCGTATGACTCACATGAGGGCTCTGCTGGAGCAGCCTCATGACTTCAGCAGTTTTTCCTTATCGGTCCAAGAAAGCATACATTGGAAAGGCGGCTGCCTGCACGCGTATGTGTACAGCTGAGAACAGGACAGCTAATACTGGATAGAATAAAACTTGGCACAGTTAAGGTCCATATTCCAGCCACAAGCTAGTTCTATTAGTATACATAGTTTTTATGAATTTACATTGCTTATCCATGCAAATAATAATGACGTTTATTAGGTTTCTTTGGTGCCCAAGTGGATGTGTTGGGAAGTATTTTCTCCCTCTCATGTGAGAGAATTTTGCTTTTCAGGCTTTAAAGTATATTTGCCACCTAGCCAACTCTTAGTAGTCAGAGAAACCACAGAATAATAGAATAGAAAGAAAGCTGAAGATACCTACACCATCTCTTCACCTTCAAGCAATAGTGTATCTAATACTCCCAGAGGGGTAGTCGTTCATTCATTGATTCAAAAACTATCTAGTGAGCACCTGTGTTGTTCTTACTACACAGGTACAGTTACCCAATGGTGGAGAAAGAGAAGTTTGCATGAAATATCTTCCTCTTTTCCTCTCTGCTTCACTCTCTCCCTTCCTTCCTGTCACATAAATGTAATTAATGTTTACTATATTAATAGAATGTCACATTGAGGATCTAGCTTAAGCTACTTTGTAGACTTTGAACAGAACTTTTTACTCTCATGGACTCCTAAGGTTTGCTATTGTCACTATAATATGCAAATCTGAGTGGGACAATGTAGGGTATATACACACACAATTATTATCATTAAAGGAAAAAAATGAGTTATGTCTATTATAATAATATTTATGTATATTTGATATATGAACCTCACAATGGTTTAAAAAGACTGTCAGGTAATTTAATTGTGAACATGTATTAAAGTTTTATTTCAATATTGCCACAAGAAAAAAGATCTAGAAGAGGCCGATTCAAAGAGTCACTCAAATTAGAGACATGTATTTTTAAAAAAGTGACTACTTACATTAATACAAAAAGAATATTTGGTTAAAGACTGCTAAACTTTTGACTGACAATCAACAGAGTGAGAAAAGATAGTTTCTCAGAATATTTCATAATTCCATTAGAATTTATCATAATTAGATTATATTTTTATAAAAAAATGTTGATTTCTTCCTAAAAGGATACTGTGAATTTTGTCATACAAAAGTTATATCCCAGTCTAGGTTTGAGATAGGTTTTCATTATCACCCTCTAATTATCATAACTTTTTTAATTTTTATTTCTTAAATTTTATTTATTGATTTTTAGAGAGAGAAAGAAAAGGGAAGAGAGTCATTGATGTGTCACTCCACCCATCTATGAATTCATTGGTTGCTTCCTGTATGTGCCCTGACCAGAGATCAGCCTGCCACCTTGGTGTATTGGATGATGGTCTAACCAGATGAGCTACCTGGCCAGGACTTTTATAATTTTTAAATAGTTAGCATATTTATTAGCCTAGGGTGTAATTCACCTAAGTCACAAGTTGCTGAAATAGAGTAGACTGATTTTTTTTTTTTAGGTTTAAAATGCTCTGTTTAGATACTAGAATGGGCTACTGAGGGAAATTTTAAGAGACCTTTCAGATTTTTCAAAAATAAAATAATTTATGGTCTTGTATACAGTCAATAAAAAATATTAAATGACTTCTTAAGAAGTTTTCTAGCTCTGTGTTTGAAACAATTTCTGATACCAAAGACTTCTGAATAAAGATAGAAGACTTAGGTGATTTCAGTTTGAATTGTGAACCAGACCCAGTTCACGTGGCCCCCCAGGTTGGCCAGACCTACCTCAGAGTCCTGGGCAGCTTCCTAGTAGGAGAAGCCCACTATGCTGTCTTGAACGTGGTCACTATTACTGCTGCCTCCCATGGTAATAGACCAAAGAGTCCCCACCCAAGAAGCTGACGACAACCAGGGACCCCCATGTCTGGTTACCAGCCTAAATGGACCCGCAGAGGCTCTGGCTTCGCCACAAACTTCTGCAAAGGCCAGGTGATACAATGGAGAAATGCAAGAAGTCCCAGGGAGTGCACTTCCACTACGAAACCAGCAATGTGTGGTGAGCTGAGGCCAGCTAAGACGCAAGCTGCGTTTATTTGCTTTCCCTCCTTCTCTACTCTCCCTGTCCTTTCAATTCTGCTTCCATGACATTGCACATGACCCCCCTTCAAATTTAAGGGATAGCATATAAACTTTTGAGACTCTGTTTCCAGGGGATCCATGTTAAGACAAAGGGTAACCATTTTTAAATTAGTAGTAAAATTAATAGGTTATTGATAATTTCAGGCTAGCACCTCCCACCCTACATTTTTGGAGTCATTTTTCCTTACTTAATCGGTGTGTATTCAAACTATGATGTTTAGTTGAGAGTTTGCGCTTTACTAATCTTTGCATACCTGCCCTTATTTAATGTAGCCAGATTATTAGGAATTATGGTCTAATTATAACCTTTTATAAATATGTAGGTTTTCACAAACACTCAGCAGATAATAACATCAGAAGTAATGTCAGAAACATTAAAAACAATCCATGTACATCCACACAATAGAGTATAGCTATAAAAAAAGGAAAATGTAAAAAAATGACTTTCAGGGATCATCAAAATGTGTTAAGTAGAAAAAGCAAAATGCTTTTGTATGTTACCTTTTGTGGCAAAGAAATAAGAGAAAATAAAGTGTAGTCAGTAGTTTTACTAATAGTAGCAATGTTACTGTTACTATTTTGAAATTCTTATTGGTATATTTTTAGATTAAACAAGTAATTATACTAATGTCATTAAAACTAAATTTTTCAACATAAGAGAAAATAGACATAAATATCAAATCAAAGAAATCAATTAAAAAGTATGTGATCTTAAATTTAATTAGGAAATATTGGTATGAACTTATCATTTCTTTCCTTTCAAAAAATCTCAGTCAACCCAAAAGACCTAGAAACAGTTACAACTCAATAGCAATGAGCAATGCTAGTGCCCATTTGAGGTCTCTAAATACTATTTTTTAATTAAAAGGAACCAAGCACCTGTGGAGAAATAGTGGCTGAATGTCTGGAGCATGAAAGCTCAGCAGTTATCAAGAAAGACATCTTAGGTTCATCCTAAGTCAATGGGAGTCCTGTCAAAAGGACGCAGGCGCCTGCTCTAAGGGGCTCCCATTTTGCTTAAGATGGGACAATTTAAACACGAAAAATAACAACCATAATGTACTGAACACATGAAATATGTAAAATCCATAACTTCATGGTGATTATAAATAAAAATAATCACTTGGAGATTTCTAGTGCTCCAACTCATCACTGTTAATATTGATAAAGGGGGGAAATCATGTATTTATTTAGTCTTTTTAAATTTTTTTAAAAGATTTTATTTATTTATTTTTAGAGAAAGGGGAAGGGAGGGAGAGAGAAGGAGGGAGAGAAAAATCCATGTGTGGTTGCCTCTCACATGCCCCCCACTGGGGACCCGGCCCTCAACCCAGGCATATGCCCTGACTGGGAACCAAACCAGCAACCCTTTAGTTTGCAGGTTGGAACTCAATCCACTGAGCCACACCAGCCAGGGCTGTTTAGTCTTTTTTATATAAATTGTTTTTCTGGGGTTATTAAATAGTTAATGAGTAGAACATTCTTCCTCATAGAAGATTTTCAGCTAATAAAGACAGAAGAAATGATAGAAGTAGAAATTCACTATTATGCAATCCCTAATGGAATAATAGATCTAAGCAACAAACATCAATGGATGCTACAATAAAATCATTAGGTGAAAGATTGATAAGACACTTTGCAATGAGGGGTCAAGTGGACACCATCTGAGTCTACTGATCAATCTTCGCTCCGCTGAATTTGAAACATCTAGAAATTATGTGCTTCCTAATGTGGTACAACAGAAAGAACACAGTACCACCTGTAATGTATTTTTGACTGAAGAAAAAATACTTAGTCTGAGTTGAATCAAGTATCTAGATTTCAAACTGAATTACAAGAAATGCAGAGGTCAGAGAAGTTAAATAATACTACAAGGAAGCAAATAGCCAAATCAGAAAGGACAAAATACCTGATTTCTCTAACAAATCAATGGTATAAAAAAGAAAATAATTCAAAAGTCTTAAGAGACACAACAAATACAATCTGTAGACCTTGTTTGAATCCTGATTTGAACCAATCAGCTGTGAAACAACATCTTTTCCTCCCAGCTTTATTGAGGTATCATGGACAAATAAAAATTATATACATTTAATGTATACAAGATGACATTTTGATATATTGTATTTATTGTAAAATGTTTACCACAATCAAGCTAATTAACATATGTATCCCTGCACATAGTTACCTTTGTGTGTGTGCGTGTGCAAGAATGATTAGGGTCAGTTCTTTTAGTAAATTTCAAGTCTGCAATACAGTATTATTAACTATAGTCACCCTGCTGTACATTAGATCTCTAAAATTTATTCATCTTGCTTATCTGAATTTATATATACCCCCCAGCCCCTGGCAACGACTGTAAAACATTTCTGAGACAAGTATGAAAATTTAAATATTGCATTAGATGATCTTAACAATTTATTTATTTATTTATTTGCCCTGACTGGTGTGGCTCAGTTGGTTGGGCATTGTCCTGTGAAGCAAAAGGTAGCCAGTTTGATTCTCCTTGGTCAGGACACATGCCTAGGTTGCAGGTTCCTCTGGGTCAGGGCACATTGAAAGGCAAACAATGAATGTTTCTTTCCCTCTCCTTCTCCCTCCCTCCCTCCCTCTATAAAAACGAACAAATAAAACCTTTAAAAAAAGAATTTATTTTTAATTTTCCATGGTGGTTATGTTTTAAAAGAATCCTACAGTTAAAAGATGCATACTAAAGTATTTATAGGTAGAATGACCTAATTTCCTTGCTTAAAAATATTCCAGAAAAAATGACGTTGGGGGAAAAAACCAAAATTGGTAAAATGTTGATGATTGTTTAAGCTAGGTGA